TGTGTGTGTGTGTGTGTGTGTGTTAGTATGAGTGTGTGCACGCGGGGGGGGGATCCAGCCTACATCATATTGCAGAGTGAATCCTCTGTAGGGTGACCCTGCTCCCCAACCCCCAGTGTTGCAGCTTAACCCCCCCACCTGCCACCCACCCCCCGGCCTCTGGTTTGCTTTCCATGCGACTGCTTTAGTGATCCCCGCCCCCCCCGGCCGCCCTGCAGCCTCTCCTGCAAGTGCATGGCCAAGGGGCCACGGATTTGGGGCAGGAGGGCGGGTCGTGACCCTGTGCTCCGGGCAGGTGGGGAGTGCGGGTGCGGAGCCGGCCCTGTGCCAGCTGCAGGAGGTGGCCGCCTGGCAGCAGCAGCAAATCGAGGCCCAGCAGCACAGCCTGGTGGCCAAGGTAGGCCGCACTGCCCCCCGCTCACACCCCTGCAGGACACGTGGGCCGCCACTGCCTATAGCAGTTAGACGATGGGTGGGTGGATGGATGGATGGATGGGTGGGTGGGTGGATGGCATTACTAATGTGAATCTTGTGTGTAATGACTGAGGAATTCTTGGTTGCCTTGTTTGCTGCGCCTTTATGGTGTGCTGAGGGCATTGATCTTAGACCGGCTGATTTATTTCCATTTATTTCCATATTTTGTCCGCAGAATCCTATAAGCTTATTCAGATTTGGATCATTTTGTAGGGCATCTCTCTCTGCCTGCTAACGTCAGGTCTGATGAGTAATTGATGTGCTGTCAGGTTTAAGCCCTCAGTGGTTGTTATGTATGAGCCATCGGTGCGCAGTGTCCCGGACAGGCACGGGTGCTGCTGGACAACCAGAGTCTTTTCCTGTGTGTTTGACGTCTCCTTCTTCCTTTGGCTGAATAATGGACATGGTGGGTATCCAAACATACAGCCAATGTGCTGTTGTTGATTCGTAGCTAAGGAGGTACCCCTCCCCCTGAAAGTGGCTGGTTCCGGTCCAGAAGTCCGTTGAGTAGTTCCCCTGAAACTCTTAATGCTTAAAGTGTTTTTTTTCCCTGTGGAAAATGCAACTCATTTGTTCAATTGTACTCACTTGGAAATTAAATGTCTTTTAAACAACGAAATGTTGCTTTTGTATACGATAAAACTGTTTAAATATTTAAATCACTTTAAATGAAGTTCATATTCATTCATATTCATTCACTACTTCTTGGTGTGGAATTAGTGTTGTATTGGTGCTGTAATCGAATGCATTTCAGGGCAGTTAGATGTGAGATGTGAGGATATTACTGGGTTGTGAGTTGACAGAGTTGAGGTGCCTGTGTGTGTGTGTGTGTGTGTGTGTGTGTGTCTATGTACATATGCTGTGCTGCTGATTTATTTGTTGACTGTTAGCTAGCAATAAGAATACACAAATTTCGGCATATAGATTAAACATTAACATACTAATTAACCATAATTAACTCATTAACCATTGTGTTTTGGGCTGGATTTGCGTCTCCATTCAGTATTGGGGTGCTGGTCTCCCCCCCCGCCCTGCTAACCTCGCGGCTGATCAGTCACCACGCCTGACGGAGCACCTGACATCTTACGGGATTCTCCTCATGTACAGGAGCAGCGTCTGCGGTACCTGAAGCAGCAGGAGCGCAAACAGCAGTCGCAGTCATCGCAGCCGGCAGCTCAGACGGAAAGCGAGAAGCTGCAGCGCTTGAAGGAGCGCGTGGACAGCCAGGAGGCCAAGCTGCGGAAGATCCGTGCCATGCGGGGCCAAGTGGACTGCAGCAAGAGCCTCAACGGGTCCCTGTGTGGGTAGAGCCTAGCCGCGCGACGGGGGGGGGTGAAAGAAGAGAGAAGGGAGGGGGAGTGAAAGAGATGGGGAGAGGGAGAGTGAAAGAGAGAGCAGGGGGAGGGGGAGTGAAAGAGATGGGGAGAGGGAGAGAGAAAGAGGGAAGGGGGAGAGAGAAAGATGGAGGGAGATTGAAAGAGAGAGGGGGTTCCCTGGTTTCTGAATTGCAGCCTCTAAATTGTGCAGTGTGTGTATGTGTGTGTGTGTGTGTGTGTGTGAGGGTACTTTGACCCCACGCTAGATACTGATATGGAAAATGGATGAATGCATACTTTCATTTCTCTGAAGTGCCGGGTAGACAAATTTCAAAGGAGTCTATAGCAAAATGATGTATCTGGATGAACTGAAAAATGTAGGTTAAGCGTCATTGGCTCAGGTCCCGTTCCAGCCAGTGTTCTGCTTCCCGCTGGGTGTTTGCTGATACTCTGTGCCAATCTGCAGACCTGGACGGTGCACTGCTAGGCTCACTGCGCTCCTGCTGTGCTGCCTGTGTGCCTCCTTGGTGTCCAGTCTGCATTCTCCTCCCCCCTGAAAGCTCCTTACAGCTGCTGGAGGTGCTGATGTCACTCCGCAGCTGCTCTCCCAGTCAGGCCCTCGCTAAGCATCCAGCAGCTAATCCACACGGCGCTGCTGGCCAGCACTGCAGCCTCGCAACTCCAGGCCTCCGGGTTCGAGTCCTCTGCTCCCGCCTCATGTCTCCTCCCCACATTCACACGGATTTCCTCTGGCTACTCTGGTGAATTGCTGAAGCACCCGCTTTTCCCCTTGCTTCCTGGGAATGGACCCTGTCCTCGCTCTGGCTGTCGTTACGTCGCTCGCTTACGGAAGACGGGTAGCTGGATGATTTTAAACAATGAAGCTCTTCACAGCTGCAGAGTGAGCGACAGAAAATACGTCGGGTAACACCTGACATTCAGATGATTGCAGCAGCAGGCTTAGGCTCAGCTGTGCTGGCGAACCAGTCTAGGCTCTGCTTGGGGGTCGGGGCACATTTTGGCAAATGAAAATGAGCCAGTGACTGAGATGCAGGATACCTGGCATGCAGATGCCGCAGCTATGATGTCAGCAGAGCATTGCGCAGCCTAATGGCCCCACTGTCGCCCCCTGGCTACAGCGGCGGAGATGGAGCACATCAACGGCATGTTCCTGGAGAAGCAGCAGGAGCTGCAGTCGGCCGTGCTGAAGGTGGAGCAGCTGACGCAGCAGCTGGAGGAGCTGCGCAGGGCCAAGCTGGGTGGTCAGGTGCCCGGGACGGCTGCGCTGGAGCTGCGCAGGCTCTACCAGGAGCTGCAGGTAATGCACCTTTCACAGCGACGCAGAATTGACTGTCGCAGACGCTGATGATTTTTTCGGACGGGTTTTATGCTTTGTGGGTAATTACAGTTAATCATGGCTGGTTAATAAAGCAGGACACTTTAATATACGCCTGCAGGGCTTATAATCAGACTTAAGGGATGCCTGTCCCCACTCCGGCCTCCTACCTCCTCGCCCCCTCTTTACCTGGTGTGTTACAGATCCGCAGCAAGCTGAACCAGGAGCAGAGCAGCCGCTTGCAGCAGCACAAGGACTTGCTGAACAAGCGCAACCTGGAGGTGGCGCTCATGGACAAGCGCATCAGTGAGCTGCGGGAGCGCCTGCACAGGAAGAAGGCGGAGGCGCCCCAAAAAGGGGACGTCCCGGTAGGCCCCGCCCCCACCAGCCTTCCCATGGTGCACTGCCTCCCTGCAGTTACGCCATCATTTGCCGGGAAGACGAGCTCCTTGCCACCGGTTGTCGTGCTGGTTTCCATTGTCGTCGCCCCAGAGTGCAGTGCAACGAGCCTCCTGTGTCTCTGGCCCCCAGGCGGTGATTGGTGGCCCTGGGAGGGTGGCGACCGTGGGGCCCTTCATCCAGGTCCCCGTGTCGGAGCCCGTCAAGCCGCTGCCCTCAGCTGCTAACCCCACGGTGGGCCATGCGCGCCCCAAGGCAGGTCTGTGCCCCCCTCCTCTGCTTTTGCTGGCTTCTGTGTCCCTATACAGGGTGACAGCTGCTCTCATGAATCTTCTCCCCAGCCGGTGACCCAGGCTGGCCGCCCCTCAAGCCCCCGGACTACAAGGATGTCGCTGCGGATGCGGCTTTGAAGAGCCGGCCCCCGCCGCCCCCGCCGATGCCCCCCGCAGACCGGGTGAGGGCCGCCTTCTCATCTGCGCTCTGCCTTTTTCTCTTTCTTTCATCCCTCATTCACGCGCATGATCTCATCATGGTTATAGTCCCCTGCGGGTAGTGACCCCATACCCTCCAGGTACCTCACCCCCTTTATGACCCTGACCCCGCTTCCTTCATGTGTCCGCCAGGAGGCCAGCACGGTGGGCTCGGGCCCTGCTCCCGGCCCCGCTCACGCCAAGCCCCTGCCCCCCCCATACGGCAGCCACTGTGCTGCAGCGCGGCTCTGTACGGCAGGCTCTGCCGGCTCACTGGAGCGGCCCAAAGAGCCGCCCCCACGCCCGCCCTGGCCACGCCCGCCCCCACCGCCTGGCTCCTCCTCGCAGCAGATCCAGCAGCGCATCTCGGTGCCGCCCAGCCCGGTACCCCCACCGGAGCGGCCCGAACCCCCACCGCTGCCTCCAGCTGCCGCCGTGCGCCCCTTTGCGCCAGACAAGGCAGCGCGGCCACAGTCTCCCCGCCGGGCCCCGCCCACAGTGAATTCCAGCTCCATCTATCACATGTATCTGCAGCAGGCGGCGCCCAAGGCTGGCAGCAAGCCGGCTGCCAAAGCAGGTGAGCAGGAGGGGAGCAGGAGGGGAGCAGGAGGGGAGCGGGAGGGGAGCGGGAGGGGAGCGACTGGGGCCATACAGCTGCTACTGCCCCCTGCTAGCTTCCCTTACTGTTTGTCCTTCAGGAGAATTTGAAATGCACCTTTGATAATGACGACATCGAGGTCTGACACGTAACAGAAAGATCGCTGATTCTGTCTAGTTCTTTTAAGCACAGTACATGAGGTAGTTTTGTCTGTGCCAGGCAGCAGAGGGCACAAGGCAGGGACACCCTGTACGGGACGCCGGCCCATCGCAGGATTAGCTGCAGCACTGCTGTGTAACCTGCTCCCTCTCTCCCTTCCCCCTCTCTGCTTCCCTCTCCCTCCCTCTCTCTATTCCTCTTCCTCTTTCTCATTCTCTCCCTATCCTCCCTTCCCTCCCTCTTCCCTTCCTCTTTCCCTCTATCTCCCTCTGCCTCTCCCTCCTTCCCTCTCCCTCCTTCTCTCCCTCCCTCCTTCCCTCCTCCCTCCCCCTTCTCTCCTTCCCTTCCCCTTCTCCCTTTTTCCTTCCTTGCTCCTCCCCCCCAGTGTACGGGAAGCCTCTGTTGCCTCCTGGCTCCCTGCCGTCCTCCCCGCTGCTCTACACCAGGGGCGTTCCGGCGCCCAGGGGCCCGGTGGGGGGTGAGTCCGATGCTGAGAGCAGCCCAGCGGAGAGCCTGCCCCGGCCGCTGAGCCCCAGCAAGCTGACGCCGGTGGCGCACTCCCCACTGCGCTACCAGAGTGAGGGCGAGCTGGAGGCACTGCGCCGGCGGCTGGCCAATGCACCGCGGCCCCTCAAGAAGCGCAGCTCCATCACGGAGCCCGAGGGCCCCGGGGGGCCCAACATCCAGAAACTGCTGTACCAGCGCTTCAACACGCTGGCGGGTGGCATTGAGGGTGGGGCCACGTTCTACCAGCCCACCGTCCCCACAGGGCTTCTAGCCGACGCTGACAACGGCAACCTGCCCGACCCCCCCGGCCCCGCCCCAGGCTCGGGCCAGCCGCCGCCCCCCCCATCGTCCGATGCCAACGACAACCGCCCGCCGGCACCCTCTTCTGATGACCCGGCCGGCCGCACCTCCGAGGACAGCAACAACAACCCGGCAGGCCCGACGGACGCCCTGGGCACGGCAGCAGAGAGCAGCCCGCTGGAGGAGGCCGGCGCGGGGCGGCTGGCGGTGAGTGGGGGGGGCTGCCCCGGTGGGGGCGGGGGGGCTAATTTAACAGCAGCCCTAATTAAAGCCCGAGCTCCCCACCTCGCCGCATCATTGTGATGTGTGTGTGTGATTTAGCGCCGCTAGCTGCCCGTGGTTTGAGTTTCTTACTGTGATTATTTCCAGATAACAAGGCTTTTATAAAGTACCTACTACATAATAATAAAAAAACAAACATAAAGTGAGTGTAANTAGAAACCCCTCAAATGGCGAGAACTTCCCTATGAATTTCAGGAACCAGTCACATCATTTTTATGGGGAAACTTCTTATCTATTCCAGGGGGTGTCCCTGAAGCAGGATTTCTCAGTTAGCTGGGTTAACTAAGCTAGAACTTATGTTTGTCCAATAGGAATGCTCCATATCTAAACTCGTATTGGACGAGCATGACTTCTAGTTTAAGTTAATCCAGCTAACCGAGAAACCCCTTGGTCTGTCTATGAAACCCTAGTTAATCTCCCCAAAGTAGCCATATATCAATATCCATGACACTCTGAAATTTCTATTTCTGGAAGATAAAGAAAATTTTAAAAACCAGTTACCCAACAAATGTTGATAAAGTTAATGAGCTAATGATTTATTTTTCAGTGACCTTCATTACGTTTTGTAGTACTACCTGGATTTAATGGTCCGTTTTTATGGGAAAATAAGGAACAGACAATGCTAAGGAAATGACCCCCCCGTGACGAGTCCATACTGGGAATTTCTAACATGTTGGGCCCTCTGGTCTCTCTGACGCGTTGGACCCGCTGGTCTCTCTGACGCGTTGGGCCCTCTGGTCTCTCTGACGCGTTGGGCCCGCTGGTCTCTCTGACGCGTTGGGCCCGCTGGTCTCTCTGACACGTTGGGCCCTCTGGTCTCTCTGACGCGTTGGGCCCTCTGGGTCCGGCCCGGGTGCAGGGCTCCCATCGTCTGCTTTGACGTGACCCTCCCCCCCCTTCCAGGAGAAACGTACCAACCTGAAGAAGCCAGACTCGCAGCGGACGGGCCGTGGCCTGCGCGTGCAGTTCAACCCGCTGGCCCTGCTGCTGGACGCCTCGCTGGAGGGCGAGTTTGACCTGGTACAGAGGATCATCTACGAGGTGTCAGCCTGCCGCTCGGCCAGCACACGTGGACACGCGGCAGACGGCGCTCAGAGAGACTTAAGGCTGATTCACACTTCTGCGTAGAATCTGCCGTAGGTGGCCACAGAAGTGTAAATCAGCCTTTACATTTGCAGCAGGTCACACATATCTATGTACCTGATGGTGATTGATGGTGGTGATTATAGGCACTTTTACGCCGCTACAACTTTTTCTGGAACCAAATTTTTGTCCCATTCACTATAGTTCCTGTCCAATGTCAGCAGTGCTGGCAGTGAAACTTGGCAGCACTTATTATAGGGATAACATTACGTAATTCTTTATTCCGTGGAAAATGAAAAACCGATCTGCTGGCCAGATTCATTTATGAATTATAAACATGTTACAGGTTTTATAAGTAAAATATAAATAAAAGGCTGGGTCCCATTTCTATTGGGATAAAGTCCCAGTAACTAATCAATAACCAATAATATGACTTTTTATCCCCAGTGCTTTGGCATGGATGTGTGAAGTAGAGCTGTCACGATCACTGGATTACTGAAAAGCACCAATGAAACTTTTCCTTCTCGAATTACTTGCCGCTATGGCTGAAGGGAGGCGGTGCATTGAAGTGAAGTGAAGTGAAGTGAAACTTTATTGTCATTCACACCATACAACAGTACAAAGACGGATGCAGGCAGAACGAAATTGCGTTTCTCCAAGGCTCAGTGTGCGGACATAAGGGACAAGTGCACTCAAGACAGCATACATACAACATACATACAACATGCAGACATTTCACTTTACAGGTAGTTAAGACAGCATGGCAACGAAAAGCAGCAAAGTACAAACAATAAATATATATACATGAATATATTCAGTGGGTGATATATATGTATATGTATATATAGTATGAAAAATTATTGCACTACGTTTCACAGTGAATTAGTTATTGCACTATATAAGTAAATTGAAAACTTGAGACCTATCAGTGATTATAAAGTGCACAATAGGTAGGAGAGTAAAAGGTCAAAAGGTTATAACCATAATCAATTAATTAACATGCACATCCGAATATCACACCTGCGTGACATGTACAGGATGGCCACAACAACTGCCCGAGTCACACCAGGAACACACAAGCCCTCCATCAGTGCTCAGACTGTCCGCAATAGGCTGAGAGAGGCTGGACTGAGGGCTTGTGTGTTCCTGGTGTGACTCGGGCAGTTGTTGTGGCCATCCTGTACATGTCACGCAGGTGTGATATTCGGATGTGCATGTTAATTAATTGATTATGGTTAATTAAACATGCATGCAAAACATTGTTTAAACCCTTTACAATTAAGATCTGTAAAGTTATTTGGATTTTTACAACATTATTGTTGAAATACACAGTCCTGAAAAAGGGACGTTTCTTTTTTTGCTGAGTATATAAAGTTATAAAAAGGGAAGAATGTTAGCTGGTATTAATGGCCTCCTGTCATGACTCAGTGTGTATGTGCTTCTGTTCCTTTGCACTCATATGCAACAGTTTTTGGTGACAGACTCCTCTGTGGGTGTTAACAGTCAGATCTCAGTCGGCCCTAAATAAGTTCAAATTCCTGACCTCAGTATGGCTGCGGTGGGCTGTAGCAGAGTGAACGCCTGTCCTACTGATCCCTTTGCTCAGGTGGAGAACCCCAGCAAGCCGAACGACGAGGGCATCACGCCCCTGCACAACGCCGTCTGCGCCGGTCACCACCACATCGTCAAGTTCCTGCTAGACTTCGGCGTCAACGTCAATGCCGCCGACAGCGACGGCTGGTGAGCATGCGTGCGACCCACCCCCCATGCGACCCTGACCCTGACCCTGACCCTGCCCACCACACTCTGTGTCGCCCCCTCCAGGACGCCACTGCACTGCGCCGCCTCCTGCAACAGCGTGCAGCTCTGCAAGCTGCTGGTGGAGTCGGGGGCCGCGGTCTTCGCCACCACCATCAGCGACGTGGAGACAGCCGCCGACAAGTGCGAAGAGATGGAGGACGGCTACCTTCAATGCTCACAGTTCCTCTACGGTGAGAGAGCGTCGAGGACAGGGGTCTGATAGAGAGAGAGAGAGGGAGAGTGAGAGAGAGGGAGCTCCGGGGACGGGGGTCCGAATGGGGGTCCGATACGGAGAGAGAGAGAGGGAGCTCCGGGGATGGGGGTCCAATACAGAGAGAGAGGGAGCTCCGGGGATGGGGGTCCGATACGGAGAGAGAGGGAGCTCCGGGGATGGGGGTCCGATACGGGGGAGAGAGAGGGAGCTCCCGGGATGGGGGTCCGATACGGAGAGAGAGGGNTAACCATAATCAATTAATTAACATGCACATCCGAATATCACACCTGCGTGACATGTACAGGATGGCCACAACAACTGCCCGAGTCACACCAGGAACACACAAGCCCTCCATCAGTGCTCAGACTGTCCGCAATAGGCTGAGAGAGGCTGGACTGAGGGCTTGTGTGTTCCTGGTGTGACTCGGGCAGTTGTTGTGGCCATCCTGTACATGTCACGCAGGTGTGATATTCGGATGTGCATGTTAATTAATTGATTATGGTTAATTAAACATGCATGCAAAACATTGTTTAAACCCTTTACAATTAAGATCTGTAAAGTTATTTGGATTTTTACAACATTATTGTTGAAATACACAGTCCTGAAAAAGGGACGTTTCTTTTTTTGCTGAGTATATAAAGTTATAAAAAGGGAAGAATGTTAGCTGGTATTAATGGCCTCCTGTCATGACTCAGTGTGTATGTGCTTCTGTTCCTTTGCACTCATATGCAACAGTTTTTGGTGACAGACTCCTCTGTGGGTGTTAACAGTCAGATCTCAGTCGGCCCTAAATAAGTTCAAATTCCTGACCTCAGTATGGCTGCGGTGGGCTGTAGCAGAGTGAACGCCTGTCCTACTGATCCCTTTGCTCAGGTGGAGAACCCCAGCAAGCCGAACGACGAGGGCATCACGCCCCTGCACAACGCCGTCTGCGCCGGTCACCACCACATCGTCAAGTTCCTGCTAGACTTCGGCGTCAACGTCAATGCCGCCGACAGCGACGGCTGGTGAGCATGCGTGCGACCCACCCCCCATGCGACCCTGACCCTGACCCTGACCCTGCCCACCACACTCTGTGTCGCCCCCTCCAGGACGCCACTGCACTGCGCCGCCTCCTGCAACAGCGTGCAGCTCTGCAAGCTGCTGGTGGAGTCGGGGGCCGCGGTCTTCGCCACCACCATCAGCGACGTGGAGACAGCCGCCGACAAGTGCGAAGAGATGGAGGACGGCTACCTTCAATGCTCACAGTTCCTCTACGGTGAGAGAGCGTCGAGGACAGGGGTCTGATAGAGAGAGAGAGAGGGAGAGTGAGAGAGAGGGAGCTCCGGGGACGGGGGTCCGAATGGGGGTCCGATACGGAGAGAGAGAGAGGGAGCTCCGGGGATGGGGGTCCAATACAGAGAGAGAGGGAGCTCCGGGGATGGGGGTCCGATACGGAGAGAGAGGGAGCTCCGGGGATGGGGGTCCGATACGGGGGAGAGAGAGGGAGCTCCCGGGATGGGGGTCCGATACGGAGAGAGAGGGAGCTCCGGGGACGGGGGTCCGATACGGAGAGAGAGGGAGCTCCGGGGATGGGGGTCTTGCATCTGCATCGTTGTCTTTGTCCTCAATGCGGTCACCATGTTCCTCGCGACATCCCTCTGCCCTGATCACTGTGTTGTGATGTCATCCCCCTCTGTGTAACGTCCCCCCTCCACGGGTTTGACCCCTTCACAGGCGTGCAGGAGAAGCTGGGAGTGATGAATAAGGGGGCAGTGTACGCACTGTGGGACTACGAGGCTCAGAGCGCTGACGAGCTCTCATTCCGCGAGGGCGATGCCATCACCATCCTGCGGCGCAAAGACGACAGTGAGACGCAGTGGTGGTGGGCGCGGCTGAAGGACAAGGAGGGCTATGTGCCCCGCAACCTTCTGGGGGTGAGCCCCGCCTTTAGGGCGGAGCCTGTGCCATAGTGGGCAGGGCTTCTTTGGGGGTGTGGCAACTGGGGGCTCCACTTAAATGATGAGCATTTGAATTTCGAATTTAGTCTTATCTGAAGGTCCAAACACTTGCTTTTTATTTACTTTTATAAATCGGAGTACCGCAAATTTTTCAGGAAAGTGTTTGAGTAGATGAGTCTCTTTGACTGAACAGTAAGCAATAGAGAGAGATAGGTATTCATACACAGCATTGAACATTTACATTTAACATATTTAGCACACACTTCTGTCCAAAATGACGTACAAGTGAAGCAAGCAGCACATTATAAACATACGTCCTGTCAGATACGCATCAGTGCACCTTTCACTTTGCATTTAAGTTGGCAAGCAAATTTCAGTTTTACAGAACTGTGACCTGTCTTCCCATGACAATTCAGATGCCTAATTAATGTAACTTTCCCTGAAAGTCCTTGTTTATGTGCAGTTTGCCTTAGTGCTCAGATTTCCTCTGATCACAGGGGTACTGGAGTTCTGTGTGCTTTGCATTTAAAAATCAACAAGGTTTAAAATCGTACAAGAATTTGATCCATGTAGAATTTACATTGTTACTGTCATGTTTAGTTCACTTAGTCAGGATTATTTGTTTGTACCAGGTACAGTGGGGATTCTATCTTATGTCCTCCTTTGTACTCCTGCTTGCTCTCCGTTTTGGGGTCAGTGGGACAGCCAGCAGAGCCTCCGGAGCAGTGGGGGTCAGTGGCCTTGCCCAGGCCCAGTGGTGATGGGATTCAAACCCACGCCCTTACCGGATGCAGACACAGAGCCCTATCACTCTGAGCCTTACACCACCCCACAGTTGCTGTATGGATACTGAGAAACTGAAAGCTGAAGTGTCTCTAATGAAGGTGCCCACAGGAGAGGCTGTTTTGTGTTATTGTGTCAGTTTCATGACAGGATGATTGGTACTGTGGGGTGTAACAGGTAAGATGCAAACAGCATCCCCTACAGTTTGGGTAAATGTTTTTTATGTCAATCTGTCTCCCTGCAGCTGTACCCCAGGATAAAGCCTCGACAACGGTCTTTGGCGTGAGGCCCTGTTGGCACTCACCTTCTCCTGGAGAAAGACTGGAATGCTGGGTACTGCCTGTGCCCTGTTCCTGCCCTGACCGTGCCCTACTCCTGCCCTGACTGTTCTCTGACAATGCCCTCACCGTGTGCTGACTGTTCCTTGACCGTGCCCCGGTCTTGCCCTCACCGTGCTGAGACCCTGTCCTGACCATGCCCTGTTCCTGCCCTGACCATGCCCTGATCGTGCCCTGACCGTTCCCTAACCGTGCCCTGTTCCTGCCCTGACCGTTCCCTAATCGTGCCCTGTTCCTGCCCTGACCGTGCCCTGTTCCTGCCCTGACCGTGCCCTAGACCTGCCCTGACCATGCCCTGACCATGCCCTGATCGTGCCCTGACCGTTCCCTGACCATGCCCTGTTCCTGCCCTGACCGTTCCCTAATCGTGCCCTGTTCCTGCCCTGACCATACCCTAGGCCTGCCCTGACCATGCCCTGTTCCTGCCCTGACCGTGCCCTGGTCTTCCCCTGAAC